CTCGTGGGGATGCCCTTCTTTTTGGGGGGCCGGGGGGGGGTGGGGGGGAATGCCCCTTTCAAGCACTGCTCTGGCTTTGGCAGTGTCCCTCCTTCCACTGGAGGGTCACCCGTCTCCACACCACTCCTGGGTGTGCAGAGGCCCCGGCATGAACCTTGCTGACCGGACCTGGTGACCCACAGAGCACGGAAGGTCCAGGTGGCGAAGCCAGGAGGCCCCACAGGGAAGCCAGCTGCAGGGGAAACCCTACGGGTCTGTAACCCACAGGCGTGGGTAGCCCTGTCTCTGAGCCTCTCAGAAGGCAGCCACAGAAGCAGCAGAGTACAAAACTTCACAAGATCTGGAAAGTGGCACCCGTGAGGATGACGGCCTGTGGGCCTGCTTGGGAAAGGAAGCCTTGGAGCCCTGCCTGGGCCTGCAGGGGGTGGCAGGGAGCCCACGTGGTGCGAGATCCCCCAGGCAGATCAATGTGGGTCTACTTGCAACCACACACACAGAACCCACACCCCTAAGAGTCATGGGGAGGGAAATGCATGGACTCTGGGTGTACCCCTGAGAGGATGAGGAATACAGGCTCCCTGCAGTAGAGCCCCCTGGGAACCGCTGGGTCTGTCTCAAAACCCGAGGGGTGTACACCTTGTCATTTCCAGTAGCAAGGAGCCGGAACTGGCTCCTCGGTGGGCCCTCCTTTCACACGCCACCCTGGGTTTTGAGACCCATCTGTAGGGCAGCCACCCGCTATGATTTTTAGGGCTTCCTGGGCCCCATGACCACAGCAGCTGCTGTCTGACCACCACAGCAACAGGCTCCTTAGCTACCCACTCTCCCTGAGAAAACAGACCACTCAAGCCAGAGATGGGAGGGGGCACATTTACTTCACGTATAAAGTTTGTTATTACCTGTTTATAAAATAGAAATAAAAATGACATTTGGGTTTGGTTCCCAAAGTGGCCTATCCAAACTTATATCAGTAGAAAAATAAAATTCTCAAGCTACATGTCGCTGACACTGTAGGGGTGGGGGTGGGGTGAGAGGCCGTAACAGCCACTGTGTTGAAAGCAAACATCTTCACAGCAGAGCAGCTCGGGGGCAACGGCGACACCAGTGCCTGCTGGGACTGCCACGCCACACCGTGTTCTTACAGAAAGGCAATCAAGACCAACCGCAGTAGTCATGTTCCTGAGCTAGAGGTGTCGGACCCCTGGGTGCCGCCCGACCCCTCAGTCTGAGCCCCGGGTCCTCCCTCGGGAAGACTCCGCCCATTGCCAGGGCGGCAGGAAGGGACGCTAAGTCCCAAGGAAAAGGGACTGCGCCTAGCTAACATGGGGCAGTGCCAAGTCCTTTCTGCCCATCGCCAAGCCCTTGGCAAGTGTCCTGGCCGCAGAGGACGGGGCATGGTTTGGGAGACCCTGTGCCTGCCAGACACGCTCCTTGGTGATTTGGGCAGGAACAGCCAGTGGTTCCAAGGTCTCATGATGTCGGTCCCAGCTGGTTCTGCCCAGGCACAGCGAGCACAGTGTGGGAACAGATGTGACCCCAGCAGGGCCAGCCTGCCCAGCGGGTGCTCTGTACACTGCACACACCACTTCCACCGTCGGTGGGGACATCTCTCCTAGTTCCCCGTCAGGCTAGGTGTGCCAGCTCTAAGTGCATGCTGCGTAGTGAGCGCTCATAGTGCCTCCCGAAGGCCTGTGCGGTGCCGGGGAAGCTGCCGTGGCCTACCCATGCAGAAACGCATCCGGGGTCCCAGCCAGGGGCGATGCTGAAGGGAGTGGGAAGGAGGGGCTAAGGACGGGCTGCAGTCCACTTCGGCACTGGGAAGGTCCTCGTGAACTAAGCCAGTTCTCATCCGAGGGACGCCCAGCAGTCTCTGTCCACTGCTGCCTAGCTCCGCTCACAAGTCCTGGACCTTGGCCCTTTTGGCTTTCAGAGACAGGTGCTGCAAGAGAAGAGAAAACAAGGAGGAGGAGCTGTTATACCAACCAACCGACAAGTCAGCGTCAGCTCCTGGTGACCACGTGAACACTGCCTGCTCCTGGACCCGCTCACCATCTAGCTGTGCTGGAGGCCACCGTCGTCGTGGCACGCGAGTGCCTTGGAACTTCAGAAGACTCATCTAACACCCGTGAGCTCTGCTGGGGTCCAGAAGGGTTCCATTGCCGAATGTTTGCATGCCCGTTACCAGGACTTTCTTACTGGTCTTGAAGACCATGGATGCTGCCGCTATGGGCAATACCGGTGGCATGGCTTCCAGCACCATCGCAACAGAGAAGCCACCACAGGGCAACAGATGGCAGGTGGTGGGTAATTCACATCGAAGTTCTACACCATGGGAAGAAATCCACACAAGTGGCTAGCAGATGGCAGGAAGCAGATAGGGAGGGGCTTAGGCCATTCCCAGGGGGCACCACAGGCCCTGCAGGAAGCCCTCAGTGGAAATCGACTTTCAGGGACATGGGCCATTGTTGAGTCCTCTCTGCCCCAGCTACAGTCCGGCTCTGCAGCCAGACGCCTGCACTGCAGGTACACTGGGAAGGTGGTAGCGGGGAATCACCGCAGGCGCTGCCAGGAAAAAACTGATGAGTCATGGCAACGGCATCATGACCATCAGGTGGCGGGGGCTGCAGGAGAAACCACTCCTTAGCTTCTACGATCGAGCTCCAAGTGCTAGCCCCCTACAGTGCACGTGTGAGTGGACTGGGTGTGTCCCCAACTGTGGGATCCCTGACAGTCCCTCTGTGGGGGCGGTGGATGCCGTGGATCAGTGAGCCCATCAGAGGCACAGGCATGCTGCCTCAACCCCCAGCTGCCGATGGAGCAGGTCCGTGGTCCCCAGCAGGGGTTGAACCTCATGACTGCACACCCCGTATGGCTTCCAGGTAGTGGTCCCCTCAGCTGAGACAGGGGGCAGGTCCCGAAGAGTGGGAGTGGGAGAATGCAGTGCACTACCTGCCCTAACCTGTAGGCGATGGAATCTACTGAGCTGCAGGAACCCAGACCCTATTCACTTAAGCCTGAAAAGAGATCCTCAGAGATCACTCGCAAAGGCCCCAGCTGGGGGGTAGCCCTAAAACCCAAAGATGGCCCCTAAAAGCAAGGAGAAGTGGAGACCGGGAGATTGGCTGTTCTTGCCCTCCCAGCACAGGCCCTGCTGAATTTCCCTGAGCTTTCGCATCCCACACTTCGAGACACCCACAGCTTCAGCCCAGGGCTGGGACTGTTTGGCACTTGTTTCTGGGGAGGGTGTTGTGGATACACAGGGCTGAGTGGGCCCTTTCAGGCCTCTCTACAGGGTGAAGGTGGCACACTTGGGGTGTCAATGGCAGAGGGGCGGCCATCTGAAAGGCGGCAAGGCACACCTACCATGTCTGGGCAGCCGGCAAGCTGGTGGATGCTTGGAGAAATCAATCTACTGTGAGGTGAGATGGGACAATGACTCAGCTTCTCGGTTCGTTCTGTTCCCTAAGGCTCACTAAGGAAATCCAGGACATCTTCAGATTGGTTGCCCTCTCTAATGGCACCTGAGCCCTCTAACGAGCACTTTACCACTGCACCCTTCTTCGCCCAAGCTCCGCTGCCTTCATTTCTCTCAGGCATCTGCAGCTTCTGGCAGCCCAAAATATTCTTCGCTAACACCCGGGTCCAAATGTAACCATTCCTCTCCCTCGAACTGACTGTTCAGCTTTCACACGCAAAGGAGGCGCCTGGAAAGATTATGGCTCAGGCCAGGCACACCTTAGTCTGCGAGTCACTTCCTGGTTCTTCAATAACTGAAACAGATCTTGTGCAGCACATCTGCCCGAGGTAAGACTTCATTTGATTTCTGCTACCAAAGGCACTGATTGTGGAGCTACATAAAATGGACTTCAATCTTCTCCATTTATGAGGATGTCGGCTGTTGGTTCAGTGCTGACGATTTTTGTTTCCTTTACATTGAGGTGTAATCCCTACTGAAGGTGTAATCCCTACTGAAGGTGTAATCCATACTGAAGGTGTAATCCCTACTGAAGGCTACAGTCTTTGGTTGTCATCAGCAAGCACTTCGAGTCTTCTTGGCTTTCAGCAAGCAAAGTTGTGCCATCTGCATATTGCCTATTGGCAATGAGCCTTCCTTTGGTCCTGACACTGTGGTCCGCCTACTTCTTCATATAGGCCAGCAACTGGGATTATTTGCTCAGCATACAGACTAAGCAGTGTGAAAAGGACAAAATCCTGACACACAGCTTTCCTGATTTTAAATTCTGCAGGATCCTCTTTTTCTGCCTCTTGTACAGATCCATGTACACATTCCACCTGATTGGAACTCCCGGCTTCTTCACGTTATCCAGAGTTTGTTTTGACCCGCAAAGCTGAATGCCTTTTCAGTCCAAAGAAGCACAAGTGAACATCGCTCTGGCATTCTCTGCCTTCAGCAAAGATCTATCTGACACCAGGAAGGATATCCCTGGTTCCACGTCCTCTTCGGAATCTGGCGTGGAGTTCTTGTTGCTGTCCTGCTACATTCGCTTTTTAATTATGTCCAACAAAATTTCACTTGCATTCAGTAATTCACACATTCTGTTGGACCACCTTCCTTTGGAATGGGCACAAACACAGATTTCTTCTAGGCAGTTGGCCAGGTAACTGTCTTCCAAATGTCTTAGCATAGACGAGGGAGCGTTTGCCGAGAGCTTTTATTTGATAGTCTGTCAATTCCTAGCACCTTGTTTTTTATAATTGTCATGGATGCGGTTTGGATTGGCTCTTGATCGTATGCCACCTCTTGAACAGTCGAGTGTCACGTGACTTCGTGTATTCCATCTTTTTTGGCTGCTCTCTATCACTTAGTATTTTGCCCATAGAATCCTTCAATCATGCATCACAAGGCTTGGATTTTTGCTTTCAGCGTAAGAGCATTTTCATCCTTTTTGGTTTTGCACATTTCATTATACGAGGGGGTAGCCTCCAAAAAACAAAGTTTGGCTGGGTGGAGCTTTCATTGTATGCTTTTTTTTTTGCACTAGGTGAGGATCAAGCAACTCGCTGTGAAGTTAGTGCACCCAGAGGCGTTGCCTGGGAAGGTTTTCTCTGGTCACAGTGCATTTTTTCGTGAAAGCAGTTTCACTCGAACCTCATTTTTTTGTGTGTGATGGCCGACTTAAGAGAACAGCGTGTGCTGTGAAATTGTGTTTCCTGCTTGGGACAAATGCCACAGAAACGGTTGTGATGGTGAACACAGCTTACAGGGACAGCGCTGTGGGGAAAACTCAAGTGTAAGCATGGTTTTCTTGTTTCACAAAAGGTGAAATGTCAATTGATGACAAACTAACCTCGTTCTGGACATTCCCGAATGGACGAAAATGCTGATTTGGAGTGCATTTGGAGTTTGTTCCTCCAGGTCACACTGTTAATCTAGCTTTCTATTTAGACGTTCTGAAGAGTGTAACAGTGTGCAACAAAAAAGGCCTGATCTGTGGCACATGGGGAACTGGTTTTGTCATGACAATGCACCTGCTCACACAGACATCTCAGTGCGCCAGGTTTTGGGGGTGTTTTTTTTTTAAATCATTTTACTGGGGGCTCATGCAACTCTTATCACAATCCATTGTGTCAAACACATTTGTACATTTGTTGCCATCATCCTTCTCAAAACATTTTCTTTCTACTTGAGCCCTTGGTAACAGCTAATTTCCCCCCTCCCTCTCCCACTCTCCCTCACAAACCCTTGATAATTTGTAAATTATTAGTATTTTTTCATGTCTTACACTGTCCGATGTCTCCCTTCACCCACTTTTCTGCTGTCTATCCCCCAGGGAGGGGGTTATATGTGATAGGTTCCCCCTTTCTACCCCACCTTCCCCTTCCCCTCCTGGTACTGCTACTCTCATTATTGGTCCTGAGTGTTTTATCTGTCCTAGATTCCCTGTTTTTCCAGTTCCTATCTGTACCAGTGTACATCCTCTGCTCTAGCCAGATTTGTAAGGTGTAGAATTGAGAGACCATTTCCTTTGTGTCTTGTGGAGTTACAAGGACTTCCGTGGAAGGGGACTTCACTACAAGGAAATGATACAGTGCTTTTCCCAGAGCGTGCTGGAAGACTGGGAAATGGCCTTTCCCTCAATACCCTACCATAGGAACAACCAAGTAAGAGTGAATGCGTATGAACACAATACAGAGAGGCAGAGCGCAGGCAGTCTGGGGACAGCCTCTGCCCATTCCTACCGTTCCTTGCTGATAGAAGTGTGGAGCCAGCTCCAACAGCCACGCTGACTCAATAGCAGTCACGTCTCTCATGTAGTACTTGGCGGTTTGTATGACTTCATTGTAGATCACCCTAAGACAATAAAAAAACAAGAACTTGTTTTTATTCTTAGATTTTATGATGATAAACCAGAGCCATAACCATTAGTTTGTTTATGGGAAGTAGTTTTTCTTTTCCCTTACCCTTTAACAATTCTCTATTCTAAACACTATAAATGTTGCTAACGTCAGCCCATGACTCTGCGGGTAGGTAATGTGTCCACCTTATAGGTCAGACTCATGAGCGTGCATGAGTTCTAGGCCACCTCTACGATCAGCAGACCTGACTCTAAAAGGAGTTGGAACTAACTACAAAGACATGTAAGGCTTTGTAAACTGATGAGAAAATTCTTATCTTAAGAGTTTTATGGGTGTTCATATTTGTTACTTTGTATCTTTGATTATACATAAATGATTCCTTTTTTTCCCCCCTTTCAAATAAGTAAAATAAAATAAAGAGTTTGTCTGAGGGTAAGATGAGCCAAGAACCAAGAAAATTCTCTCAAATGCCCAGATCTGAGGATCACAGAAGAACTGATGTGGGAGATACTCGAAGAGTCCAGTTAGGGCTGCCCTCTCAACCACAGGCACCGTGCCCCCTGACAGCCTCTGTCACAAAGCGGTGGGTGCTGTCGCAGCCCACCCCTGCCCCCAACAGTGTGGATCTGTTTCAGGACTGGCACTACATCCACGAATGCAGCAGGAAAAACAAAGCCTTTTTCTCTTTCAGATGGTGTACGCATCCAAAGCCAGCAAGTCCTTGAAAAGGCCCCAGAACTGGCCTTTGGCTTCCCTCCTCGCCTTAAGTCACGCCCATCCCAGGAGCTTCCACGGCATGGGCACTGATGACAGGATAAAGTCCAGCTCCTGGCCAGGGGGAACACACCTCACACCCTACTGCCCAGCAGGATCACCTGGGGGGCATTTACACCACAGACTGCTGGGCCCGAGACTCTGCTTTTCTAACAAGTACCCTGGTGCTGCTGATGCTGGCCGGGGGGCCACACTGCGAAAACCACTGGGGCCAGAGGACCCTTCAAAGACCCTTTCTCCTCTCTAATTTAGCCGCCACCATCATCCCTCCCTGCTCCACGCTTCTCCAGCCATCCGTGGTGAAGGACAAGTCGTTTTTCAAATTCTCAATCCCTCGTATAGCAATATTTTGTAAAACATAATACAAAAGATTTTTTTAATGAAAAGGGCACACACAAAACACAAGCCCCAATATTTTCCATTGTTAAATTGGGCAGACATAATTTAGCCTTTAAATTACCACAAAAAATGTCCAGACACCAACCCTCCACTTCTGTCCTGACGTCTTCCCAGGCGGTGGCCCAGCCACCCTGAAGAAGCCCCCTTCCCCAATACCACCACCTCCTCAGGCCGGAATGCCCTTGGCATCCACTCCTGCCTCGAAGACGCCTGCTTCCAGCCTAAATAAAATGTTTTCTCCTTCAAGAAACCAGTCCTACGCATGCGATGCCACCGCAGAGTGGAGCACACTTGTCCTTCCCCTAAAGTCCTGAGAGCTGGGTCTGTCTCTACTTCACTGCAGAACAGGGGCTGGGCTAGCACACGAGGAGCATCTCGCCAGTGGGCAAGCGCGCAGCAGAGTGAGAGTGAGAAGAGGCACTTGGTGCTGACCGCGGGAGAGCGCTGACGAGTGCAACCTCCCCAGATGATGCGGTACAGCAAAGCCAACGAGGGCACGGCGCCTGCCTGGCTTCCAGGCCCTGTGCCAGGCATGGGGGCACCTGGTGACCAACAAGCAGCAGGCTTTGCCTTTCAGGCAGTTATAACACCAAGAAGCGGCAGGGCCTTACCAGCGAGGTGGCTTCTCTGCATACAGAACTGAGGCAGGGTGGATGTGCAATTCATGATCATCCCGGACAGTCCTGAAAAGAGAAAGAACCATGTCCAAAAAGTGCCCTAACTGAAGCAAGCCCTTACTGGCCATCGCCAGGCTCTCTTTGGCCATAAGATACCGTCAACATGTACACAGCAGGTAGGTTCCCCTCCAACATTTCCACAGATGGCTACTTGTGCCGGCATTCTCATGGTGTTCCGGGGGTTCACGTGGAGATTCCCTGCCTCCTATGCTCGCATCTTTGCTCTGGAATAGAGGCTGATCTCCTGGACTTGCACAGATGTTCCCGTAGTAGGACACCAATCTTGCAGAAGTAACCCTTATTTTGTGTGCCACGTTTTTTTGGTTAAAGGGGGTCGCCAGGGGTAGTTGGGTTCAAGGTTTTAAGAGTGTTTCAGAGTTTGTGTGTACATGTGCTACAGCATGTCCCATTCACTCATAGTCAAACTGGTCAGTGGTGGTAGCCTGGCACCATCTAGTTCTTCTGGTCTTGGGGTAGTTGAGCATGACTCACGTTGGCTATCAGACTTGTACAGTTGCTTTGCTCTGTGATTTCAATTACCGGTGCCTTCTTAACACTTTCACTTCTGACAATTAAGGGACCAATGGTTTTATCTTAGATGACTGCTTACAAACTTATTAAGACCCTCAATATTATTCACTTTTTTAATTTACTGAATTGTTTTGTGTCCCACCATATGATCTAACCTGAAAATGGCCCACGTGCACTGAAGAAAATGGTATTAAGTCTGTTAATGGGCAAGACTCCATCTATATCAGTTCAAATTGGTCGAGGGCTTTACTTACATCCTCAATGTCATTACTGATCTTTTTAGATATTCTGTCAATAATTGGAAGTAGGGTGGCACCCTATCATTGTGAAGTTGTCAATTTCTCTTTTCATATTAGTATTTACTTCATGTATTTTGTTTGGTGCATCGCTATTACACACACACACACACACACACACTCATGCATTGCTCTTACACACACACACAAATCACTGCCATCGAGTTGATTCACTCATAGAGACTCTACAGCAGTGGTTCTCAACCTTCCTCAGGCCTCGACCCTTTCATACAGTTCCTCATGTGGTGGTGACCCCCAACCATCAAATGATTTCACTGCTACTTCTTAACTGTCATTTTGCTACTATTATGAATTGGGCGACCCCTATGAAACGGTCATTCAACTCCCAAAGGGGTCACGACCCACAGGTTGAGGACTGCTGCTCTACATGGTGGAGTGGAACTGCCCCGCTAGGTTTCCAAGACAATAAACCGTTACAGGGGCAAAACGCCTGACCTTTCTCCCATGGAACAGCTGGGGAGTCTCAACCACCAGCCTGCAGTTGGCAAGCCTAACTGTGACCTACTACGCCTCCAAGACTCCTGCATAGCAATCAGGGGGGTACACATTTGTAAGCATATGTCCTCCTGCCCAATTGACCCTTTCATTATGTCCTTTCTCTCTTGTAGTAGGATTCTGATTTAAATTCTATTTTATATGATAACAGTATTGCCATTCTGGTTTTGGTTTTTTAGTGTTTACATATAATATTTTTCCATCTTTTTATTTAAAGCTTGATGTTCACATGTCGACAGCATGCTTCTTATAGGCACCAAGAGAGTAACACCATGTCCTTTTATCTAGTCTGCCACGCTCCGCTTTTGTAAAGGAAGTCTACGTCATCTGTCCTTGAGGCTCTTACTGAAATTGGAGTCGTCACCTCATCCAGTCTGCATTTGCGCTGTGAGGGTCTCCTGTCTCCTTCGCTTCTCTGTTCTCATCTTTGGTTTTGCTTTGTATCGGGTTGCTTTGGGATGTTAAGCCTTTTGGCTTGCTCTCGCCTTCAGTGTATTTTTTCTCCATCATTTTTTAATGGTTTCCACACAGATGATATCACACAACTTACAACTGTGACAACTTTTTAAATATGTACAAAAGCTAACATTTGACCTTAACATATTAGGTCTTCCCCCATTTCTGTGGCTCTGTCTTCATTTACATCACTATACATTCTATATCCAATATGTTCAATATGCTTGTCTTTATACCTCTTTCTTACAATCTTGATGCTGTATCATTTGTGGAGTTGTACTACTGAGTTTATTCCCTGAAAATAACATATACTGGGTCCTTATGATTGCTTATATTACTGCATTTGGGGGAGAACTCTCCTTTTTCCCTCATAGAATAGATTTGAGTGTGTCTTCAATGTTCTTGCCTTTCCAACTGGAGAACCCTGGAGTAACACTTGCGGAACTGGTCTCATGGGGACAAATTCCCAGGGCTTCTCTCTCCTGTGGAGTGTCTTGATTTCTCTCTCAATTTTGAATGACAACTCTGCTGAGTAAAGAGTTCCTATGGGACAATTGTTTGCATTCAATTATTTTATATATGTTGCTCCATTAATCTTTTGGCTTCTAGAGTTTCTGGGGAGAAATCCTCATTGATTTTTGTGAAGGATCATCGGGGTGTCAGGTGTTTTTCTCTTGCTACTTTCAGAATTCTCTTTTCTTTGGTTTATACATACTAGTTTACTATGTTTTGCTTTGTTTTCATTTATTCTAATTGGGGTTCATGCAGTAGCTTTTGATAACTGCAGGCTTGGGGGGAAAGGGGGTTTCCACTGTCCAGGCCTGGGAAATTCTGAGTAGCCCTTGAAAGGTTTTCTTTTTAAAAAAATCATTTTATTAGGGGCTCATACAACTCTTATCACAATCCATACACACATCAATTGTGTAAAGCGCATTTGTACATCTTTCTCAAAACATTTTCTCTCCACTTAAACCCCCGGCATTAGGTCTTCATTTTTCCCCTCCCTCCCCACTTAATTGTTTGTTATAGTGGCCCGGGAACTCCAATCATTCTAATGTGAAACTGCTTAACTGAGTCTCCTATTTCCATGTGGCTTTGCTCACTTTCTGGACAACTTTCTCTGGTTCATCTTGGTCCAGTCGCGCCGTGTTTAGTCCACTTAGTCTGCTCTTCTGCCTGCTCACCTGCTCTCTGCAGTGATGGCGTTGCTTTATCTTTGTCGCAGCAGCTCTCTCTGGTTCGTGTTTCCAATACCCATAGGGGGTCTCTCAGTTTCTTCCTCCATTTGTTTCCTAATCTCAGTAATTTTGTTTTGTGCGTGCTTTTTGCTTTCTTAAATATACTTAACATCAACATCAGATATTTTCCTAGTTTTCAAATATATATGTGTACTCTAATTGGTTTCATTTCTGTTTTCTGATATTTGTAGGAGATTTTTCTTCTGGTGAGACTTGATTAAGTACCGTGTTGAATCTCTTTCAGCCTGGTACCTTTTAAGGTCCTCCTGGTCCTGGTGCTCATTATCTGGGGTTTTGGTGAGATTCAACATCACTGTGTCTTAGTGCTGAGGTCTTCCTTTGCCCGCTTCCTAGGTGTGTGGCCCTCAAGCTCCAACAATCACTTTTGCACAGCTTCTGAAATGGGATGGCCACTCGCTCAGTGCAGCTTCCATTCTGTGTTCTGCATTCCAGAGGCCACGCAGAGTCATCCACTGTGCTGCATGCCCAGGTGCTAGTGGGGAGGCTCTCCCAGCTCCTGAGCTGCCTCCTACTCCTCCCATCCTATTTCAGAATGCACCTTCGTTCTCTAACACCTCAGCTGCTACCTGGAGTTGTAAGGTCTCAGTCTGTGCTTATTCGTCTTTCAGTGGGTTGGGTGCTGGAAGATGAACGGGAGTCACCACACACTTTGCCATGTTGCTCCACCCTGACAGGTTTTTTTATATTACCCGAAAAAGGTATACAGATTGTACTTCACAACAAAACTATGCTCTCCACCTTCTCTTGGGCACTTCCTACACTCCAAAATAATAAATCACACTGAAAACGGAAGAGGAAATAAGCGTGGGCATTAAGAAAGTACATGGGAAAACACAATGCTCTGTCTAAACCTGCCATGTTAGCGTCGGGACATTCTCTTGCAAAACCATTTCCTCAGGGAATAATACACGGGATTGCTTGTATAAAACTTTTTCACTAAGTTAAACAAGAAGGGTAAAGACTACATAAGGATAAGTAATGATGAAGAAGTTCAGTTTTTGCCTATTAATTTCTCTGAGGTAACAGGGTAACTTCTACCTAAGAGCTGATTTGATTCAACAACGACTGCACTAAGCACACATTTACAGGCAAGATCAGCTCAGAAGAGAATGCTAAAACACTGGACTGCCCCTCCCCCAACTACACGAAGGGGGCGCTGCTGGGGGTGCCAAGGTCCTGTGCCTGACGCAGTGCTTCGAGGAACACACAAAGCTCATCTCCACACTCTGGAAACACCAGTCCCCTCCGGCCCTGGCTGCTCCCAAAGGCTTGGTGGTGAGCTGACCAACGGTGACGCCTCTCACAAGGACTGGCTGCCTGGAGCCTCGAACTACTGACCCTCTATAGATTCGACTGGTGGCAGCCCGCCTGTCAGGGCAAAAGAGCACTCGGTTGGGTGCTGACTTTTCCGAAGCAGACCGCCAGGCCTTTCTTCCAGGGCCTCTCTGGGAGGACGTGGGTCCCCACCCTTTTGGTAGCCAAGCATTTGCATGGCCTACAGACAACCCCGAACCACCTGGGGTAGCTACATCGCTCATATTTTAGTTGAGGACCCTGATTAGTTTTTACATGCTAGTAGAAATTACTAATTAATACTCATGACGGGGGGAGGGGAAGTCAAGATGACAAGTTAACAGTACTCACTGGAGAAGATCTCAGGCCTCCCCAAAAAGGATCTCACCTACAGAGTTGCCTCAAGCATGGACAACCCTATGCTGAGGGAGAGTTCATACTATGAGCAACAGAATCCTGGTAGCAACAGAATCCAGATAGGCTGGAACACTGGCCTAGAAGAGGGACTAGAACGCTTGGGACAGAAATGTAGTAAAGTGCTATCGTCAGGCTCAAATGGCCAACTCCCAGGAGACTAACAGAGAAGTCCTGGCTGCCAGAACCCCAGTGCAACCCTGGACTCACAGACAGAGCCCAGTGTCCCAGACTACCGACATTATAACTGACCCTAGGCTAACAGGACGGTAGTATTTTCTAGGGAGGAAAAAATTAATGGAAAATCAGTGTAATGGAAGAGTAAAAAAAAAAAAGAGTTGAGCGGAAAGTAATTCTGATTGTTCTTTCATTAGAAGAGCAGAGGATTGAAATTCTGCATTTCAGACAGGCCACAGTGAAGTTATGAACTGAAAGGAGCTAAGGGGCAGAGAAGACAAACTAAATAACTTGCACTGTGCTCATATAGACTAACAGCTATCTGGAGGGCATCAATATCAGCGGTTTTTAGGCCTGGAAATCGGAAAAGGAGAACAGACTACAGCTACAGCAGGAAGCACGCTGACAGCACACGATGAAAACCGTGCACGCCAGCCTCCTCAAACATGAACCATGGACGCACTGACTGAGGGCCACGGTGGGCTTGCTCCCGCAGACCTCGGAAACCACAATGGACGGTCCAGCGGCAGGAGCGCCATCTCTGGAAAAGTTTTTTTGTTTTTTAAAGATCATTTTATTAGGGGCGCATACTACTCTTATCACAATCCATCCATCGTGTCAAGCAACCCGCACACCTGTTGCCATCATCATTCTCAAAACATGTGCGTTCCCCTTGAGCCCCTTGGAAAAGAGTTTTTCAATAGGCCCATCTAGCTCCATTGTTCTACATTAGAATTCAAACATCACCAGCCTCCAGATTAAGAATCGTCATCCTATAAGCTGTGCATGGGCTGACGCCCTGAGGAACACTTCCAGAAAGTTAAAAGACTTTGCTTAAAGCTATGTCGCCAACCTCAACCCATTTTCGACATAAGACACGGTATAAATTAAAAGTAAGCAATTTGATTTCTCGACAATCCCTGCATATCAGTATTCGGTAGGGTTCGTGTCACTGTTAAGACTTCTCCTTGATCCCCTTGCAGAGGGGTCTCGGGGAGATGAACCAGTCAGGGTACGATGTTAACAACGATGAAAAATACAACTTTCCTCTAGCTCCTATATGTTTCCTCCCCGCTCCCACTACCATGACTCGAATTCGATCTTGCAAGTCTGGCTAGACAAGAGGATGTACGCTGGTACAGATAGGAACTGAAAATACAGGGAATCCAGGGCGGAAGAGCCCTACAAGGACCAGTGGTGTGAGTGGTGATACTGGGAGTATAGAGGGAGGGTGGATTGAAGAGGGGGAACTAATTACAAGGATCTACAGGTGACCTCCTCCCTGAGGACGGACAACAGAAAAGTGGGTAAAGGGAGACGTCAGACAGGGCAAGATATGTCAAAATAATAATTTATAAATTATCAAGGATTCATGAGGGAGGGGGGAGCAGGGAGGGAGGGGTTAAAAAAAAAGAGGACCTGATGCCAGGGGCTTAAGTGGAGAACAAATGTTTTGAGAATGATGAGGGCAATGAATGTACAAATGTGCTTTACACAATTGATGTGTGTATGGATTGTGATAACAGTTGTATGAGCCCCTAATAAAATGTTTAAAAAAAAAATTTAAAACAAAACAAAAAAAGACTTCTCCTTTAACAAATAAAGCCCCAAAGTATCGCCTTACCTATAAGCTCCGGTAGAATGAAACCTCGCAGCATTTGCAAAGAACCCCGAGACGATGCACCTCAGAACTGGATCCGGGTCACCTACACAGGTAACAGAGAGGTGAATGAGACCCTTGCTTGCCTGGTCCCTTGTGTGCTCAGGCCCGTGCTGTGACACCCCATCACACATGGCTTCACACCCCCTCCCACCTGTCTCCTGAGCAAAGGCTCTGCCCTGGGCTTCCTAATGCCTGCTGCTGGCAGAGACTCCTGCACAAAGTGCTCGGTTGGTCTGGCACTCCGCTCCAAGCCCAGCCCGAGCCTACAGCTAACTTCGCTAGTCCACAGACTCACCAGTGACTACTTTTATCAGAGAGGGTCTCTTAGGAAAGCTGTTCTTTGCATCGGACACAGACGGGAATGCCACACATTAGTTCTGTGAGTTACATGTTGCAATTACTCAAGATCTCCGATGTCTTATTTTAATTGGTGTCTATATTGCTACAGTAAACATCTTCTGTGAATTTAGAAGATGCATGCAGGATTCCAAATTACTATGCAAAAGGATGTCATGTGTAATTACTATGACATCCTACGGTTCATCAGATCTGAGCTTCACTCTACACTAACTCAGTGAAGTCAGGTAAATGCTGCTGCTGCTGCTGCTGTTGTTGGGTGCCATCAAGGTAGTTCCGACTCAAAGCGACCCCCATGTACAACAGGCCACAACAGGCAGGGCCCTGTGCCAGCCTTACAATCATTGCTACGTTTGAGCCCATTGGTACAGCCACAATCACTCTATCTTGTGGAGGGTCTTTTTCATGGACCAAGCATGATGAGGTCCTTTTCCAAGGACTGGGCTCTCCTGATAAGACATCAAAAGTACCATATATGCTTGTGTATAAGCTGAGCTTTTCAGCACATTTTCAATGCAGTTTTGTGGTAAAACCAGGTGTCTTGGCTGTTATTCATGGTGGCTTATATTTGAGTATATACGGTACATGACATGCAGTCTCAGCATCCTCCCTGGAAGGGTGGAGTCCAAATAGATTCATTTGTTATTCTTGCACTCCATGGTATGTTCAATATCCTTCACCAACCCCATAATCCAAAAGCATCAATTCTTCTATGGTCTTCCTTATTCACTGCCCAGGATTCGCATGCAGGTGAGGCCACTGAAAATACTGTGGCTCGTGTCGGGTGCACCTTCGTCCTCAAAGTGGCACCCTTGTTCTCCAACCCTTCAAAGAGGCCACTTGCAGCGGAGCTGCCCACTGAGAGAAGCCATTGGACTCTGACTGCTGCTTCCACAAGCAATGATCTGGACCCAAGTATAATGACATCCTTGACAACGTCAATCTTTTCTTCCGTTTACCATTATGTTGCTTATCCGTCCCGTTGAGAGGAGTTTTCATGTTGAGGCGCAAACCATATTAAAGGCTTTATAGCCTTTGATCTTCATCAAGAGCACTTCAAGTCTTTTCAAGTTCAGCAAAGGCGGCTGTGACCCCTGCGTATCAGAGGCTATGAATGAACCTTCCTCCAATCCTGACGCTACTTTCTTCTTCATGCAGCCCAGTTACTCAGATTGCGCATGATATACAGACTGAATACATGTGAAAGGCCACAACCCTGACACACAGCTTTCCTGATTTTAAGCCACACGCTATCCCTTTTTCTATTTAAATGACCCCTTCTTGGTCTATGAGAGGCTCTGCATGGGTACAATTAAGCGTTCTGAAATTACCAGTCTTTGAAATGTTACCCAATGTTTGTTATGATCCACAGTCAAATGCCTTTACATAGTCATTAAAACACAGGTAAACTTCTTCTTGGTATTCTCTACTTTGTCAAGGCCCATCTGACATCAGTAATGATATCCCTTATGCCACAACCTCCTCTGAATCGGGCTTGAATTTCTAGCAGCTTATTGTCGATATCTTGCTGCAACCACTTAAAAATGATCTTTAGCAAAATGTTACCTGTGTGAGCTATTAATGAGATGATTCCGTAATTCCCACATTCTGTGTGGAATGTGGGATAGCCATGAACAGCACCTCTTCCTATCAGTTGGTCAGGTAGCTGTCTTCCAAATTTCTTGGTAGTGGGGCATGAGCACTTCCACCACTGGATCCATTTGTTGAGACATCTCTACCAGTATTCCATCAATGCTTGGAGCTCTGTTTTTGACCAATTAGTTCGGGGAAGCTTGGACTTCTTTTAGTACCATCGACTCTTAAACATATGTTACTGAGTGGTCTGAACATCCACCACTTGTTTACTAACTAGTGGTGGCTTGCGTGTTGCTGTGATGCTATAGGCCACACCATCTGAACTTCAAATGCCATGTGGGTCCTCTCTGGTGGATACATTTTGGCAGAGCTTGAAACTAAGACAGAACAGGATGACCTGGTGATCTATTTCTAAAAAACTGGCCAGTGAAAAATCTTATGAATAGTTGCACAACATTGTCTGATGAAGTGCTAGAAGAGGAAGACAATTAAAATACGATTGGGGCAGAGCTGGCGCCTCAAAGCAGAGTCAACCTTAGTGGCATGGATGGAGTAAAGTCTTCAGGACCTTCATATGCGGATGCCACACCACTCAGTGAGAAAAATGTTTCATGGCCCCATGAATACATGGAACATGGAATATAGAAGTATAAATCTAAAAAATGGGAAGGCATAAAAATTAAATGAACAATTGATGGTTATCTTGGGCATCTGTGAGCTGCTATGAACTGCTAACTGGCCATTCTGAATCACTTGATCCTATGTAAACTTTTGTCGGTATGATGCTGGGAATGGCATAGTGAAGGGTAATGGCATCAAAATCATCATAAAGAACATTTCAAGATCTATCCTGGAAGTATAGGGGTAATACCTACACCCCTACAAGGAACTCCCGCTAATACTAGTATTCAAATCCTTGTGCCAGCCACTAACCCCAAAGATGCAGAAATTGTCATTTTTACCAACTTCCACACTGACATGGATCAAACATGAGCTCACGGCGGGCGCGCTGCGGTGAAAGCTGGAAAGGCCGAGGGTAAGGCCCTGGAAACAGGGCCATGGTGGTGGAGCAATGCCGCTGGAGAGAACGTGACAGAGTTAGCAAGACCTATCAGAAATCAGAACAGCATTGTAACTGCTAGTAGTTATTGCCTTTCTTCTTGTTGCTGATGTGTTCCATTCAGGCATTCCAACACCCCGCGAGC